ACAGTGTGTAATAATGTTCACATTCTTTTGATATGTGTCTTCCTGATCGAGTGAAGTGCTTCACGGATTTGGAGCACGAATGCATAAAACTTTTTTCTTTTCCTTTGCCTTCCTCATTTACAGTTACTTCTAATTCCAACCAATTTCTAGTTAATGCGCCCATAAGAATCCGACAATCCCTCGTATGGAGCCACCGTCGTTTCGTCTGTCTCAGTAGGACATGTATTTCTATGAAATTCATAAATGAAGTAGTTAATGGTAGGGTTACCATTATCCTTTTTGTAGTGATGAATCAATAGATTTAATTTTATTTAAAAAGTTAATTAAAAATATAATTTTTTTATAAAAAAAACTATGTGTAATAATCAATAGCAGAAGCTTGATACATCGAGTTAGTATTTTTTTTCTTTCTTTCTTACCAACTCAATGTTAAATCTCTTCATTTAAAAATTGCACCTATTGCATTATTAATATTGTATCATAGGATTCTAAAATTCTTTGACATATTAAACAAAATTGATTTTCAACATTAATTTGAATATACTTCATGAAAAGAAAAAAAGATGGAGGGGGACCAAGATATGTAACATCAGTTGAGCTAGAAATTAATTTTAATATTAGCTATAGTTAGCTAGGTTAATTAAATGTGTTATAATTATTTAACGTCCATCAATTTGGCTTTCTTTATTGACAAAAATCTAATTAAGTTTAACTCAACACATACACGAAATCTCTTAAGTCTCATTTACTTTCAAAATTTACCTAAATTCAAGGTACATGTAACATGTTTCATATAGCCATCGTCAATAGTCGAGAATTTATTGAAAATATTATTAATTTACCTTACAAAAAGATACTTACGTATATATTAATATCTCATCTTGAAAATTATACTGAATATTTTTTTTAATTAACGAATTTATTGAAAATATTATTACTTTATCTTACAAAAAGATACCTACGTATATATCCATATCTCATCTTGAGAATTACACTGAATAATTTTTTTTATTGTTAATTATTATTGTTGTATAGCGATAGAAGTGCCCATATAGGCAATATTAGGACCATTCATATTTAACCTTTTTTTGTAAGTTTAGATGTTACAAACTTTATCATATATATAGATATATATGGCTAGAAATGATGATAAAATAAATTGATATGGGAAGGTTTGACTTGCCATTTACTTATAAATACACTGAAATCTGACACCACACACATTCATGAGTAGATAAATTTAGATAATTGTGACACCATATAGCTTAAAGCGGAAAAGCTTAGGAGTAGACTTCATAAAAAAAACATGGATATTAGTAGACTTTATAAAAAAAGCTTCAAATTTGACATTAAAATACGAATTCAGAACTTATAAACTTCAAATTTTGTATAGTTTTTTAATATTGTAACAAATTAAATACTAAAGAGGCAATTGTTCTCTGTTTCAAAATGAATGCATATATAATAGACCTAAATGAATGATCTACATACATTTGGGATTGAATGGTTAATGCATATACAAAATATGTGAAAAAAAGATGCAGTGCATCGGATGAACTGCTTCTATTTTAATCAAAAATTTTAGATTTGAGTAAGTATGAAAGTTTTTCGGTGTGTAGTGCAACGGATGAACTGCTTTTATTTTAATCAGAGTTCTTAAATTTGTGTTTTAAGTATGAAAGTGTTTTCTCCAAAATGAAACCATATGCGATAAAAATCTGAATTAATCAAATTTCAATACAAATACTAGATATCGAATGAGAAATAAAATAATATCTTTATTTTCTTAGGAGATAAGTGTCAAAATCACACCTAAACTATTCACTTTTTTTTAATTTCATACCTAAACTATTGAAAGTGTGAGTTTCATACCTAAACTATCACTTTTCAGTTTGAGAAACACACCTCAATAGTATGTGTAGTGCACTCTCTCTTTTATATGAAAAAACTTTGACACATGATATTCCACATAGATAAAATATTTTATCTAGATAAAAATTAATATTAATTAAAAATTAAAGGTTATTATCCATATAAAAAATTAAATTATTTTTCTTATCTCACTCGACCACCTCCTTCATATACCCCCTCCCCCGCGACAACGCCATCCTTTTTTAAAAAAAATCATATTTCATCCTCCCTCCCCCCCCCCCCCGATAGAGATTGATCTTATTTTATTGAGATAATGCACAAGTACCCCTTCAACCTATGTCCGAAATCTCAGAAACACACTTATACTATATTAAGGTCCTATTACCCCCGAACTTATTTTATTAATAATTTTCTGCCCCTTTTCGGCCTACATGGCACTATCTTGTGGGCCCAATGCTGGTTGACTTTTTTTCAAGCTAGTGTCACGTAGTCCGAAAAGGGGTAGAAAATTACTTAAAAATAAGTTCAGAGGGGTAATAAGACCTTAGTATAGTATAAATGTCTTTGGGATTTCGGGCATAGGTTGAGGGGGTACTTGTGCATTATCCCTTATTTTTTAAAAAAAATCTACCACATCCCATTTAGTTTTCCGCTCCTAATTTTTATTTGTTTATGTTTTTTTGTGTGTGTTAGATATGCACATACATATATTTTTTAGAGAAAAAATTATACTAGTGTACCGAATATAACATAAACAACTAAAAAATATAAAAAGTCTTGTGGCGGCAAGTAAAAAATATTTTCGATATGTATACTTAAACACTGGGGGGGGGGGGGGAATTGAAAGCGGAGGGTTAAGTGGGATGGGTAGAATTATATTTTTAAGAAAATAAAATGATATCTAAATTAGTATTTGATAAGAGGGCGGAGATGAAGTAAAAAATAAAATACTTTTATAAAAGAAATTTAAACAAAATAAAAAACTTTGAAAAATGGTGTGGGGTAAGAAAAATATTTTACATTTTATTTTATAAAGAAAATATTATTTTTTTACAACAGTTTTTTAATTTTTAATTTTAACTAATACTAATAATTTATTTATTTATTTGTCTAGGTTGAATATTTTGTCCATGTGGAGTGTGATGCGGAAATTCTTTAAAATAAAAGAGAGAGAGTACATTACACATACCATGTATGATGAGAGTGATATAAAGAGAGAGAGAGATGTGTTTCTCCAACTAAAAAGTGATAGATTAAGTATGAAACTCAAACTTTCAATAGTTTAGGTATAAAATTAAAAAAAATGTATAATTTAGTGTGTTTTTGACACTTTATCACATTTCTTATTTTAATTATATTTTGCTTCTTGGTGACAACATATATAATAACAATAATAATAATAATAACTAATAATTACAAATTGTGGAATAAATATTCATAATATTGCTTATTACTAAATTAAATGTTCTAAAATAATTTAACCAAATCTCTCCTAAAAGAATATAAAATGTCAATATTCATGAGTAGGGAATTGTAAATAGTCGTATCCAACTTCACTAATAACAAATTATTCAACCAATTATGATAAAATAAAATAATGATAGAAGATACACCAAAAAATATATATCATGTCATTTTGAAGGAAAAAAAAAGGATATGAAGAGATGCCAAATGGATATGTACAAAGTAATGTCAAACTCCAATTTATAATAATAATTGAAGATTATTAGTGAGTTTGATGTTTAATCAATTTTGAAATAAGCAAAGTTTAAAAGAAATTCTCTCTTTTAGTTAATGTTTAAGTTTGTAGTAGTAAGAAATGGCGGTTTAAGTAAACAAAACAGAAGAAAAACAAAAGATAAGTTCGGTATAAAGTGGGAGTGATTTTTATGATGGACAAGATAAAGAAAGTAATGTTAAGACAGTCTGGAGGTATGAAGAAGAGATGCGAAAATACTTCCGTAAGAAGGTGTTTTGAGAGGTTGGATTTGTAGATCAGAAGAGGTAGAGATAGACCGAAAAAATATTGGAAAGAAAGAGATTAGACAAGACTTGATGCAACTTTAACTTACCGAGGATATGACCTTAGATAGATATGGAGGTCGAAAATTAGGATAAAGGTTAGTAAGTAATTGTGCTTTGATTCATTTTTTAGCGAGTTTGGGCTTGGTAGAATCTTGGGGGCACCATATATGTCGTAATATTTTACCTTCTACGTGTATTTTCTTTTCGATTATTTTTTTTTCTAAATTTATTGTTTTATACTGATTTTCTCATTAATTTGGTTAGCTGCATTTGAAGAAAAGTCTTTTGAAAATAACCTCTCTATCTTTACGAGCTAAGAATTAGGTATCAATTTGTAACAAATATGTATTACTCCAAAATAGTTATATATAAATTTAAAATATTTTTCATCGTATCGAACAATAAGCGTGTAAAAAGGAATGAAGAAATTAAAAAAGAAATGGAAAAATAAGAATGCCACATTATGGCATTTTCCTTCCATCTTCTTGTTTTGTTAGCTTCCCATAACTAGTAGAAATCCCAACCAACTAAATTTGTTTTTACAAGGGAATATTAAAAATAAAACTTTAAAAATTTGGAGAAAAACTATATAGATATCTCAAAATATGTAATATAAACATTTGTTTTGACGCAATTAATTCGTAATCGATTTCACTAACGTGAATAAGTAATCACTTATAAGTTAAAAACAATAGTTACTAATCAAAAAAAATATATATATAGTGAAAATTAAACTCACACTTATTCCATAAGAAATTAAATCTTCACTAAATTACTAGATGTTATAAGCTTTAGTATTTTATTGACATATATATGATTTTATTCAATTCAAAATAATAGTAAGATTTGTGTACGATTTATACTCTTCAGACACTAATCTGTTGAAGCTACATTAAGTATATTGTTATTCTAGCGTCTTGATTTAATACATATTATATTTATATTCATAAAAAAAAAACTTTTTTTTTATATTTGTCATTTTGTGTAACTCCCATCAACCATTCTTATCAATTCAATTTCTTTTAGTAGTAGGACCCTTTTATAATCTCCTTATATACCCCTCTCTATATGTTCATCTCCCTTCAATTCTACAACAAAGTGTACTAACACTCACTCAACACCAAAGTACCATTAAAACAACTTTTTGGATTTTATATCCAAACAATTATTATGGAATTCCTTCTTTATTTACTTTTATTTTTCTTACTCAATTCAAGATTAATCAATGCTCAAGGTCCCCCTTCACCTGGCTACTATCCTAGTTCTAGGGCACAATCTATAGGATTTAACCAAGGTTTTAGAAACCTTTGGGGTCCTCAACATCAATCATTGGACCAAAGTACCTTAACTATATGGCTTGATAAAAATTCAGGTCTCACTTCTTCTCTTTCTTTTTTTATTTTTTTAGAAGTACGTTTAACGTCCCTCAAAATCTATAGATATGCTCTAAGACATTACTATCATGGCTACTATCAACCCGAGCCCTATGTAGTTGCTTGCTTAGAATTCTCGAAGGAATTAATGTGTATACATTGATGTTATATTGTTATCAGTTTGTGATAATAACATATAATTATGATATCAATTAAAGGTGGAGTGAGAATTTTTATTCTAAAATATAAATTTGTAGCTTTCTCTCTTACTCCGTCTTTATTATCAATTAATGCTATTATAGATACTTTTTTTTTATTTATGTAATTGTGATGTTTGTATCAATTTGCATCGTCGTATCACATTGGTTACATTTTTTCACTTTTCTTTATTACACATTTGTTTTTCTTTTTTAATTTATTCTATGTATTTGAATGCAGGAGGAAGTGGTTTTAAATCTCTAAAGAATTATCGTTCTGGTTATTTTGGGAGTAGTATTAAGCTACAACCTGGTTTTACTGCTGGAATTATTACTTCTTTTTATGTGAGTATTTAATTTAATTTGATTTATTATTACAAAAAAAAAACATTTTTAGTTTTATTGATATATTATTAATATTTATTTTGTAGCTTTCAAATAATCAAGATTATCCGGGGAACCATGATGAAATTGATATTGAATTTCTTGGAACAACACCAAACAAGCCATATACTTTACAAACAAATGTGTATATAAGAGGAAGTGGAGATGGAAATATTATTGGAAGAGAAATGAAATTTCATCTTTGGTTTGATCCAACAAAAGATTATCACAATTATGCAATCCTTTGGGACCCCAATGAGATCATGTTAGTATATTTTTTTTAAAAACTTCTTCTTTTTTTTTGCTTATGGTCTATTTTTTTTAGTCTTTTTCATAAATAGTTTAGTGTTAAAAAAATATGTTCAAAAGTAGAAATTTTTTAACGTACAGATACGTTGATAGTGTTACGAATTTCAAACTTAAGCAGTAAAACAATTTAAAATATTTTAATAATTATTGAAATTCATGACAGCGTTATACGAAATTCAAATTTGTAAAAAAAAAAAATACATAACAATGTTTTAGATTTTAAATTCTAACAATTAATTGAATTTGTGTTTATTGTTTGATTAGAAATATGAAAGTAACATTTCCAAATTGAGTGTAAAAGCTATTTTAGTACTATAGAAGATCACTCACTTTTTTATATTATATGTTAATACCAATATAGAAATTTGTGATTAATTCATAAGTGATTTTGACGGTGTAAAAATTTGTATATTTAATTCTAAATATAAATTTTAAAAATGTCACAACCATGGGGTCATGATATAATTATGCTATTTTTGTCAAAAAGCATTATTTTTCATAAATGTAACCAATATGACCCCATGTCCAAAAACAACAATAACAACTACTCTACTACTACTTTTTGTTTTTTGTTTTTTTTTTTCCTCTTGTGTGTCTTTGCTATTATTATTATTATTATTTATTTATTTGAATATGACTTTGTAGATTTTTTGTCGATGATGTCCCTATTAGAAGATACCCTAAAAAAAATGATGCAACATTTCCACAAAGACCTATGTATGTCTATGGTTCAATTTGGGATGCATCATCTTGGGCAACGGAGGAAGGACGAATTAAAGCGGATTATCGATACCAACCTTTTATCGGAAAATATAGTAATAATTTCAAGGTTGAAGGTTGCGCGGCCTACGAGAGTCCCTCTTGTCGTCGAGCGCCTTCTAGCTCTCCTTCGGGGGGTGGAGGGTTGAGTCGACAACAGATAGAGGCTATGTTGTGGGTGCATAGGAACTATAAGGTGTACGATTATTGTAGGGATCCTAGGAGGGACCATACTCACACACCTGAGTGTTAGTGTGTGAACGATCGTAAAATAAAAAAGATATTAAATTGTATCGAATTTATCGTTTGAATATAAGGGGGGAAAAAAGTAGCCTTGAGATGGTCCCATTTGCCATTAATTGTTGCAAAAAGTTGTTGAAGCGTCCAAGGTGTTCCTTTTTTTTTTTTGATTGAAATTTATATAAATGTATTAAAAATGTTTGATTTAAGTTTCATGGGAGAAAAAAAAGAGTCAAGAATATTGAAGAATTATAGAAGATATATCTTGCCCTATTTTCTCATGAATTGCTTTTAATTGTAATTTTTATTTGATCAAAGTGTGTATTTGTTTCTTTATTTGTGATTGTTGAAGAAAAAAATATATATATATTATATTAGCCAAAAGAAAATCTCTTGAGTGAGTTCATCTTTTTCATTTTTCTATATATTTTGTTCGTCCTATTTTAACTGTCGTTTTAGCTTTTTTCATGTTTATTAAAAAAAAATACAAAATGTAGTTACAAAGTTATTTCCATTCATTAGTTACTTTTTTAAAATTGAGCAATATTAATAAGAACTATCTCTCTAATATCAAAAAATGTACTTGAAAATAATCAACTTTAATCGTAAATTTATAAAGTAACGATCAAAATGAAACTGAAGATGAGCTTTATTATAAGAAGTGAAAGCTGAAAACTTTGTGCAAATTTTGTCTTGAGAGATGTCTTACTTATTCCATCCTCATAAACTCTAAAATTCCAAGATAATGTCTTGACTAATTTTACATTTTAAATTTGCCTTTTTTTCTGTTCAAATTAAAGTAGACTTTAGAATAATGCATGCAATTATGCTAGGTGAGATGGGATCAGTGTTTTAAAAGGCGGGGGCATGAGGTGAGACATTTTATACAGTGTATGGCGAGACGTAAGTCTCGAGACATGGGGCGTAAGTCGCATGGTTGTACGGAGTGTAGTCTCATGTATATTAAAATTTATAGTTTTATTACTAATAAAATAAACAAAAGTAGATTTTTGATTTTTATTTGACATAAATATTAACAATCAATAATAAAGAAAAAAGTATTATAATTATTATTTGAGAAATATCATTAAACCAATAATAAAAATATGATTTAAAGAAATTTGATCCGGACATACGTTTTTACGCTTAGAACTTACGTTTTATGTTTAGGGCTTACTATACTTCAAATTTTAGAACTTATGCTTTATGAATCTACGTTTTTAATTTATATCCCAGAACTATTCTGATACGCCCCGCCTCAGACTCGCCCTAGAGCTCGCTCGAAAAACATTTTTTAAAACATTGGATGGGATGTTGCATTTAGTATATGTTGTTTACTAGTGATAAAGATGATATTAGCAACGTGTAACCACACAAATTGTGAAAATGAAATCCATAACCAAAAATTGTGGATAGTATATTATTGTTGCTAGTGTTGGTATATGAAGAGACCGTCATTCTTGAAAAGGACTATTTTTTAAAACTTTTATTCACACAAATCAAAAGTGTACACTTTGATGAATAAGGTATGTTTTGGGCCCAAATATATATATATATGGACTTGACAAAGCCCATCATTTTCTTATGCTTAGTGTGTGTAAGTGTACCATATTTGTACTTTTTGTTACTTTGAGGGCATGATTGTTTTAATCATGTAAACTTATTAAAAAGACATCTCGATGTATAGAATATATGTTTACGTAAGATTTGGAGAAGGGTGGCACCCTAACGGGTAGCCGTTGCGAGATATACAGTCTACTTTAATGCAAACATAAGTGATTGCTCACGCAAGTCAAATATGTGAATTATTGATTACACAGATTTAAAATTGTGAAGAATGGATTTAGTTAAAGTTAATCATTACTTAATGATATTGAAGATATAAAATTCATAAATAGCTACTTATTCAACCTTTGCAATTGAAACTTAGTCATTAATGCAGAGCTTATAATTTCACATCTGAAACTTCACGAATGCCGTGAAATTTTACCTATAGACTTTAAAACTTCCATTACAATGACTATTGTATATATAAGAAAATATGTATTGTTATTTTTACAATTTTTTCATGCAAAGAAGTTGGTATATTTCTTTTTAAAAAAAAGAGAGAGAGAGAAGAGATAATTTAAGAATTTCTAATATTTAACGTTATTTTCCTATTAATTAAGCTTATATGTGCTAGTTAAACATAAATGAAGCTAATTAGCATCTACTAAACATAAAAATGTAGCTAATTTGCTCCTACTATACATAAAATAGAAGCTAATTTGCACATTCTAAATATTATGCTAATTCACGCATATTAAATAAAAATAATTAGAGAGAGGTATTGAAAATATTCCTGAACTTGTTTTATTAGTTTCAACTTTCATAACTAAATTATTGACAGCCTTAAGAACACTCTTTTACTTGACTAACTAAACTTAGATACACTCTCGATTACCCCAATCTGCCACAGGACATTCAAGAAATTTCAAACTCTTGTAGGAGCATAAGCTTTCAATAAAAGATCGAGATAAGTGTTGAAAACACTCCTAAACTTGAAAATTTAGGAGTGTATTTCACTCATGTTGCAAGATCGGAGTTGTATTTAAGTTCAATTAGATAAATAAATTGATATTTTTAAGGCTACCAATAATTTAAAAATAAAACGAATAATTCACACCTAGTTTAAATATGTTTTCAATACTTCTCTCACACAATTATTAAAAATTAGAAGCACAATAAAATTATTAAGTAATATTTTGCGAATATTTTTTATAGGTTTATAATAATTAATAATACTTCCAATTAAAAAATGAAACGTGGATCATAATTAAAAGAGTGAAAAGATGTGTTCTTTTCAAATTACACTGCAAAATGCCAATATTAGTACAATAAGCATAAATTATAAAATTATCCATTACATTCAATCTTTTCATTAGTATTTTTTTCCTCATTTTTTCTTTCCACTGTCAATCATATATTATTATATTAATTGAAAAGAACAAAAATCCATCAATTATTTGACAAAAAAAAAAAGAAGAAGGAAATTAAATATAATACTAGTAAATTTCTTTTTTGGATGTCCACCTTCTCGTATTATTTGATTTGATATGTGCGGAGCATGAAGAAGGGCTTCCTCGAATATTATTTATGTAAAATTTATAAATAGGACGTATTCTTTACTTGTAATTTTTTCATTAGTATAAAACTCAAAATTTCTAGTTAACACTAAAGAAATTTCGTACATTTCATACCATCATTAACTAGTTTTGTCACATAATTATAAAGAAGAAAAGCTTTCCAAGTTTCAGTAGAGTAACAATATTTATAGTTTAATCATGTGATACTGTAACACCTAATCACTCAACAATAAAATCTATTTGTACTCAATATTTATATCTAACTTAATAAATAACATAGGTTAACTTACTCTTTATTTTTTCAAACCATATAAAGTCGACTTTAGAATAATGCATACAATTATGCTAGGTGAGATGGGATGTTGCATTTAGGGTATTTTTGCTAGTGATAAAAGATGATAGAGCAAGGTGCAACCACACAAATTGTGGAATTGACAATTTTGAAAATGAAATCCATAACCAAAAATTGTGAATAGTATAATATTGTTACTAGTGTTGGTATATGAAGAGACCATCATTCTTGAAAAGGACTACTTTTTAAAACTTTAATTCACACAAATTAAAAGTGTATGCTTTGATGAATAAGGTAAGTTTTGGGCCAAATATATATATATATATATATGGACTTGACAAAGCCCATCACTTTCATATGATAATGCTTAGTGTAAGTGTACCATATATAGTATTTTTGTTACTTTGAGGGCGATGATTGTTTTATGAGCAACTTTCACGAATAGCAAATATAAAATTTATAGTTCTACATTATAATAAAGTTTGTATAATTGCGCTCTATAGCAAACATGAATATGTATAATTCACTATACACATACAAAGAAATCAATTGTATAATTCACTATACATATACAAAAGAAAACAAATGTATACAAATCAATTGTACAATTTGTGTATGCATAAAACGAGAAAGAGAGAAAGACAAAAGAAAATTGGGTAAAGGAATATTTGTATTGTATAATTTTAAGTTTATAGAACGAAAATATATGTATTTGCAAGTGTACATAAATTTTCTCTCACTTTATACAAACAGGAACGGAATTTATACATTTCGTTTCTGTTTGTATTAGCGATAGAGGCAAGGGTGGCGAGGGAGATCTGGGAGAGGGGTGAGCGAGATCTGGGAGAGGGGAGAGAGAGGAACGAAAATATATGTATATATGCACACTGATGTTTGTACAAAAGTGAGAGAGAGCGGCGAGTGAGAGTTTAAGGGAGACCGACGACTGGCAAACAATTTGTTACATGATACAATTAAATTATACTGTGGTTATAGCATTTAATTTAATTTATTAGTTTGACATTATGTACAATTTATCCTTATTTTAATCAAGTAAATTTAGGAACCGTCTGCGATATGGTATCATGATACCATAATTTGAAATTATGAGATGAAATTGATATCTTGTTTGGATATGCGATATAAAATTTTTGTGCTATATATTTTCTTATAAACATAAGAATCTCATCATAAAATTATTAAAATAGTCTCAGTTGTTTTTTCAATCATACCAAATAAACAAAAATTTATAAAATAGCATAATAAATTATTATGTACAAGCTATTTATCCTCTACTTAAGTAACTATTTCATTGAACTTTAATTCAATAAAAAAATATTGAACATAAACTGTAGTATACTAGTCTTTAATATAAATATATAATCCTCTCATATAGTACGAACAATTTTCTTATGTTGAACTTGTATTTCTCGATCATGTGACCGAGAAGATGAACTAACATTGTTACTTTGAGTTGTATTGACCACAAAAGGTAGAAGTAATAAATTAGGTGTTGGAGTAAATGAAGAGAACAAATTTATTACTCAACAATCGGTTGGTGTGAGCTAAATGACTACATGTTGGTGAGAATATTAAATTTTATATCGATAAGA